CTCCCGCTTATAACATGATTCTCCGCTTAATTACGACATCTACACACACACACCCACACATTAAACTGTTTTACCCTTCCTTGGAAAAATGGACTCTGTGTGCAAAGTTGTCCTGGTTTTGGTGTTTTTGTTGGGAATTGGAGAACTTTTCCAACGTCTGCGTTGCACTCTGTGGCCAATCTGTGCCGGACGTTTCCCCCACCATCTGCTGGTCAATGTCGACAATTGTTTTCACCGAATCCCTTGCCGCCACTTATCTCTTATCAAGAAGNATACCTTATCAGCAATCGGCACTTTAAAATCAAATGTTTTTAATGCTGCTAGTGTGTCCTGTGATATGTCAGTGTCTGTCTGTCTGTCTCTGTGTGTGCACTTTCTTTGATTTTGATTTTTACCACTTTTGCTAACAGGCAGATTAACCGTTCACTGCCGTGTTCACCTCCTACGACGCGTCGCATACTAATCCCTAACATCGATGACGACATAAATCGCGTTTCTCTGTCCGTCTGTCCGTCTGTAATTAATTAATCGCCAAGTGCTAAGTGTAGTAAAGGAGAGGAAAGAGAAGAGAAGTGATAGCTCTTAGGTGATATCTCAGTTGATTGTGGTGGTGGCGGTGGCAGGCAAGCACAGAAAAGCCATTTCGCCTAATGAGGCATTTTTGGTTGGTTGTGTCTGCCAGGTAGTCAGTCAGTCAGTCACCTAGTTCATAGCATTGGTCTTTGGTGTCGGTTGGCTAGCAGCAGCATCGGTTGGCATCGGGTGTACATATACTGACTGCTATTTTGTTGTTCTCACTGCCAATCAAATCTGCTGCTGCTGCAGCCTCCTCAACGTAGACACAAACTCTCACTTAACCCACTTTTTCCTCCTGCTGACCTACTCCACTTTAGAAAGAGTTGTCTTTCTTTCTGAACACATCAGAAACTCGGAAGCTCGAAAGTCCCTAGATCTATGGAGGGACGTAATGTCCTCCCGCCGAAAGAGGAAGCAGAGGCCGTGAAGGAGGGCCGTCTGCTGCAGCGGTTCATTCCCGCCCGGGTCATCTTTGTGCTGCTCGGCTTTATGGGCTTCAACCTCGTTTACGCCTACAAAACGGTGCTCAGCATGAGCATCATCGCGATGATCAACGGCACCAAGGAGAATAATGACCGTTTTCCCGGCGACAAGGTCAACTGGGACCACGAGGAGAAGTCGCAGGTGCTGGGCGCCTTCTTTTACGGCTACGTCGTCACGCAGATACCGGCCGCCGTGCTGGCCACCAAGTTCGGCGGCAAGTGGATCTTCGGCTGCAGCCTCCTCATCACCGGCATCATGAGCATTCTGGGCCCCTTTACGGCGATGATCGACTACAAACTGTTCATGGGGACGCGCATCATCCAGGGACTGGCGGAGGGCGTCTCCTTTCCGGTAATGAACGGCATGATTGCACAGGTAGGAGCAGAGACAGTCGATGAGTTTTTTTGCAATGAATGCTAATCTAAACAAATCTTTTTTCCCTTCCTTCCTTTGCAGTGGATCCCCAAGAACGAGCGTTCCCGCGGGACGACCATCATCTTCACGGGGGCGATGATCGGCACCGTCCTCACGCTGCCCATCACCGCCATTCTCAGCAAGACCCACTTTATGGGCTCCTGGGCGGCCACCTTCTACCTGCTGGGCATTGCCGGCGTCATCTGGTTCGTCCTCTGGTCGGTGCTCGTCTTCGAGTCGCCCGAAGTGCATCCCTTCATCTCCACCAGGGAGACGCGCTTTATAATTGAAAATGGCGGCGGTATGAAGGCCAAGGGCGTGAGTTGTTTTTGGTGGTTTTAATTCAGCTGTAATTAAGCTAATAAGATGACTTTTGTTTTTGTTTTTGAGTAGAAGATAGACATTCCCGTGCGAGAAATACTCACCTCTTATCACGTCTATGCACTCATAGTGACGCACTTTGGCCAAAACTGGGGCTTCCTGACGGTGCTCAATCTGATGCCCACGTACATGAACACCGTCCTTAAGATGAACATTAATGAGGTATGGATATTAGAAAAAAAGTGGATAGATTTTTTCTGCAACCCAGTACTAATACTTTTTATTTTATTTGCAGAACATTCTCATCTCTGGAATGCCCTATCTTGGCCAGGCGATTTGGGGCTGGGGTGCCTCCTTCATCACCGATAAGCTGCGTCAAAGTGGTCGCTTTTCTATCACTACACTGCGGAAGGCAAACTCCTTTATTGGTAAATGAAGTTACAGGACACCTCCTCTTTTGCATACTCTAATTGTCATCATTTTTCTTCCTCAACTTTAGCCTACGTTCCGTCGGGCATTTGCCTGGCACTTGTGCCAGTCATCAAGCACAACACTACCGGCGCAGCTGTGCTGCTCATCCTCGCCATGACCTTCAACGGATCATGTCACCCAGGTTTGTAAAGAAAAGAGTGCAAGCACTTTTTATTGATATTAACAACCTTTTCCCAAAATTAGGCCTAAACAGCACTCACGGTGACATGTCGACTCGCTACGCCGGCGTGCTGATGGGCATCACCAATGGCCTGGGCAACATTCCCGGCTTCCTCGCCACCATCGTCGCAGGGCAGTTCACCAAAAACGGCGACACGGTGGAAAACTGGGCGCCGGTCTTCTACCTCTCGGCGGCCGTCTTCGGCGTCACCACGCTGATCTACTGTTTCTTCTGCACCGCAGAGGAGCAACCCTGGGGCAGGGGTAAACCACAAACCACAGCAGCAGCAGCAGCAGCAACTTCGGACGTTGAGGCTGATGAATATGGCGGCCAAACCAAAAAGTAGTAGGCTCATCGCCTTCCGCTTTTTCCTTCAGAGAAAGGAGGAGAAGATGGTCTTCTTCTTGATCGTGCTCAAAAGCAAATGTAGGCTGCAACGGCAGCCAAAAGTATAAACATGTGATACATTTTCCACCGTTGTTGATGATCCTGATCAGCAGTGTTAGCAGCAGCAGTCGTCAACAGCTTTAGCTTTTTTTGTTTCATCAACTTTCATCCTCCATTTAATCCTTTCCTTTCCTTTTCTCCCCTTCTCTTCCCCTTTCCTCTTGGTGTTTACACATAGACAGTTCGGGCGACACAAGTGTGTTGTCCATTGTTGACCAAAGTGCGACAGTGCAATAAAATGTTTGCGGCTGCACTGCACTTTTTGCAGTTGCAGAAGGAAATGGCTAACCAGTAGCAATTGCCAGTGACAAACCGCCGAGATGGGCTGAAAAGAGAGGGAAAGAGAGAAAGCAAACACAGCCACTGACTCCTTTTGCGCCCTTCATGAACACTCACACATCGAGACACACATTCCCCTCTCTTTTTATCATAACAACCACCGACTGACAAAATGTTTCAAAACAGAAGTGTATTAGTAATAAGTGAAAGGGAGAATGATTCATTACTGAGAAAGAGCTAGAAAGAGAGACTGTCAAAGTTTGTCTGGTTGCGCAGCTCTTTAGGTGACAGCTCGCTCATTTTTACTCTAACTCTTCAACTTGATCATTCCAACTTTTCCATCACTTGCATCATTCGCACTGCCAAAAAACTTGCACGACTGTACACGATTGCCAAAAGCTTAGCTGCTGGACTTTACATTCTAAAGAAGTGAAAAGATGCAGCTATTCCGCCTTCTTTATTCTTTGTTAGCACTCTGCTTCCTCACAGTGCCACTGGCACAACGCTGTGAGGCCAACCAGATGACCCAGCCAATGACACAGCCGCTCCATCAGCATCCGCCGCCCCTACCTGACCTGCTTTTCGGCAACATTAGCCTTCACCGGGCCAGTTCGGGAAACAACGAGGAGGTGGGCGCTTGTCCCGAGGCAGGCAATGTCATCCACCTCGACTACAGCCTTACGTTTAACTCGGTGGTGGCAGTGTGCGACAGCAAAAACAATGGCACCGTGAACATCTTCCCACTGGACAAGTCGTAAGTGAAGTTTGTGCTTCGATTCTGAATCACATCACCTAACCACTCTTTTCTACTCTTTGTTTTTTGTAAACAAGTCAACCAGCAAAACTGCTGGCCAACGGACTGGCGCTCACCACGCTGAAAACGCCGCACACTAGCTTCTTCGCCCTGGACTGGTCCACCGGACTGCTGTACTTCACGAGCGGAAATGAAATCCTGGTCGCCGACCTGAAGAAGCCGCTGCTCGACGCTAGACCGAACGGCAAAAACGCCGAATTCGAACGCCACGTGCTGAAGGTGTACGACTCGACGCGAGAGATCGTCATCCAGGGCCTGGTAGTCCGCCCGGACCGGAGCAGCCTGATCTGGATGGAGGACTCCAAGGAGGGCGTCCACCGGATCACCATTCGCCAGGCTTCGCAGGCAGGCCGGAACGTCACCTCGCTGCACCAGTCCATCGGCCAGCTGGAAGACCTCACCTACGACTACCTCTCTGACCGCTTTCTGGCGGTGGGCTACCACGATGAGGCCAGCAAGCACCGCGTCTACCTCTTTCATCTGGCCAACCTGAGCGACGGCACCTCTCTGCGGAGCAATGAGGTGGTGGTGGAAGGCAAGTGGACCAAGGGGAACCGCTTCCTCCTCTACGGCGACTCGGTGGTCTTTCTCGATCACGACGGCC